GAGTAAGACAGTCTCTAACCTTCGAAAGCATTAAATTTAACTGATGGAAATAATTCTAAAATTTCAAATCCTTTAATTTAACCTTGAATAGTTACTTATCCAATGCTAGATCTTAAAATGAAGCAGGAGGGGGGAAGAACTATGTCTGTTTGTATTTTATTTTGTGATTCCAAAATTTATTTTTATTTTTCCAGCGCTATTTATTTCACAATTTAGAATCTTGAGTTTTTAGCTCTCAGATTTATACTTCTGACTTGGAAAGACACACACACCCCCACACACACACACACACACACACACACAAAGAACAAAAAGAGTCTATTAAAGGGCTAAACCTAATAAATGCTTGGAGAGTAACGTTTGGGGGATATTACAATGTATATATGTTATAGCTAAACCCAAGGCAGTTCCTGTATATATGGTAAGCTGCTGAAATACCATCTTAAGGGCATCCATTTAGCTAATGATGTGCCTTGGTAAAATGGCACTTAACAAATATTATTTGTCAGCTGAACCTGGAGGATAGCTTGCCTTTTAAGAGCTTCCTGTGCGCCTGGCACAGCTGCATCTTCGATGTGAAGTGTGCCATTGAGATCCACCAAAACAGCTTTTAATGCACGGCGTGCTGCCATCCTTCATTCCCTAGGAGAGAGCAAATGAAATTAAAAATACAGTTTAGGAAACAATGGACAATTAAAAACTGGTAGGTCTTCAAAAATATCACTCACATCCACAGACATATAGCTTAAGGAGGTAAGTTGCTTCTCTTTTGGGAAAAAAAAGTTTTAAAAGTCAAAAATTCAAAATTTGTTCCATAAAACTTTCATAATGCTTTTTTGTTTTGTTTTGTTTTAATCTTGAATTAAAGCTAATTCAGGAAAATGCTAAAAGATATGTTACTATGTATTTACTTCTAGGATTCTTAAGATAACTGGTAAACAATTTATTCATTTTGCCAGAGGGTGCATGTTTACCTACAATGGGGTGTGATCACACTGGAATCCTTTTTCCTACATTTCTGCAGGATTTGGGGCATGCACAAACATACCTGGCCTGTGTTTGGTTCGTGGCATGCTGGGACTTGATCTTTGACTGGTCATATGGGATCTGGATCCCTCTGCACAGCACTTAACCACTGTGCTACAGGGCTGGCCCTATTTTATTTTTAAATATCAAATTAATGTACTCTGAAGAATGAGTTGATGCAAATACTAATCGTTAGCACAGTTTTCTTGGTCTTTGCTTATGTATACTGAAAATGTTTTGGGACCAGTAGTTAGTGTACTGCCTATGTCGTTGAACTCCCATGTAGTCAACTGTAGTTCGAGTCCCGGACCTGGTGGCTTAAAATCACGCCAAGCGCGTGTGCCCAAGATCCCTGGAGGAGAATGGAGGAGAAGGGATTGTGGCGTGGCCATCTCCCCTGGGGGGTGATTTCTCGCTTTCTATCTCTCTGTCTCTCTCTGTCTTTCTGGTGAGCATATGTGCCCTATAGCAAAAACCTCTCCAAAAAAAAAGAAAAGAAAAGAAAATGTTTTAATCACCCATCTTCACTGCTACATCCTGAAATGAGACTATGTGGCTAGGGAGCTGCCAGAATTTACAGGTCACTAAAGAGGAAATATCAAATTATATGGTAATTTTAAAGTAAGGAGATATATTCTCTACCTTAATTTCCTTTCGCTTACTTTCCATTTAAAAAATTTCCATTTTGGAGACTAGCAGGTAGTGCAATGGTTAAGACACTGGACTCTGGCATGGCTGACCACTGGGCACATGTGTGTACATGCCCAAAATCTTGAAAAAGGATGGAGGAAGAGTGACTGTGGCATGGCCATCCTCCCTGGGGAGTGATTTCTTGCTTTCTGTCTCTCTGATAAGCACACATACCCTCATAGCAAAAATCTCTTTAAAAACAAAAAAAACCCACCTTAACTATAAAATATATGGAGTATTAGGCATATATGGCTTAAACATAATAAGGAGGGCTCTTTCATCTTAGTCACTAACAAGCCATCCAGAATGAGGAAGACCCAGAAACTTCGAGACCATGTGAGCCATGGCCATGGCCGCATTGGCAAGCACTGGAAGCATCCCGGAGGCCGGGGCAATGCTGGTGGCATGCATCACCACAGGATCAACTTCAACAAATACCACCCAGGTTACTTTGGGAAAGTTGGTATGAGGCATAACCACTTAAAGTGGAACCAGAGCTTCTGCCCAATGGTCAGCCTTGATAAATTGTGGACCTCGGTCGGTGAGCAGACACAGGTAGACGCGGCCAAAAACAAGACTGGAGTAGCTCCCATCATTGATGTAGTGCGGTCGGGCTACTACAAAGTTCTGGGGAAAGGAAAGCTCCTGAAGCAGCCTGTCATCATGGAGGCCAAAGTATTCAGCAAGAGAGCTGAGGAGATTAAGGGTGTGGGGGGTGCATGTGTTCTGGTGGCTTGAAGCCACATGGAGAGTTTCATTAAATGCTAACAAATGCAAAAAGTAAATAAATAAATAAAAATAAAAAAATAAAAGTAATAAATAGGTAGGGTAAGAACAGTATGGAAACTAGAGAGGGAGGGTTGTTTTTTGTGTGTGTTTTTTGTTTTTGTTCTTTTGTGTGTGTGTGTGTTTTGCTATGGGGCACATGTGGTCACCAGAGACAGAGACAGAGAGAGAGAGAGAGAGAGAGAGAGAAAGAAATCACCCCTGGGGGATGGCCATGCCACAACCTCTTCTCCTCCATTCTCCTCTTGGTATTTTGGGTGCACATGTACATATGCCCAGCATAAGTTTCAAGTCCCTGGGTTTGGGACTTGATCCCTGGTTGACTATGTGGGAGTCCAGTGCCTTAACCACACCACCTGATAGCCCTATGTTTTTGGTTTTTTTTAGTTAGTTGATTTATTTACTTAGTCTTTTTTCCATTTTTTACAATGAAGTATGTCAGACAAACAAAAAGGTATACGCAGCCCCATGATTCTCTTTCTTCCTCTGCCTAAGGTGGCTCCTCTCCTGGTCTATTTTGCTTCTTTTTATTTGTAGAGGGCATGTGCACAAGGGAGAAAAAGAACCCACAAATGGGGTGTGGTCATACTGCAACCCTTTTTTTTTAATTTCTCCATCCCATCTAGATTTGGGGGCCCCATGCACAGGCACTCAAGAGTGTTTTGTTTTTATTTTTAACAATTATTTATTTAACTTTATTTATTTATTTAAATTTGACCAGAGAGGAACAGAGTGAGAGAAAGGGAAAGTAAGAAAGTAAATCGCCAGGTCCAGGACTCAACACTGTGGTAGGCCAAGTGGGAGTCTAGCACCCTTAGCCACCATACTACCTGCTGACCCCTCGAGAGTTTTTCAAGCCACTGGGACTGGGATGTGCAATTCAACTCCCTTAATCAGTGTGATATATGGCTGGCCCTCCTGGTTTTGATATATTCAGAGCTTTATATAACGTATTTTGTATATACTTACAACTTGCTTTATCACTAGTTGTGAGATGTAGCCACATTAACACATGTAGCTACAATTCATTTATTTTCATTCCCATGTGGTATTCTATTGTATAACTAGATCATAATTTATCTGCCCTCCAAATCATAAACTCTAGATAGTTTTGCACATTTTATTATCATACCAAGTGCTTCTATGAACATCCTTGTACTTGTCTTCCCGTAGACTTGTGAGTGACCACTTATCTTGGGCCTTGGGTCTAAGCATGTTTATCTTCACTTCTGCAGAATATTGACAAACCAACCTACTCATTTGTATCTTCATAGGGCAAATGTTTACTGAGCATTTACTGTGTCTTAAGCCCTGGGGTAACAGCAGAGCTGGAGGAGTCATCTCCTCCTAAGTGAGAAATAGCACGAAAGGGTTTAGCTGAGCTGGACAGAATGTAGGGAGATTTAAGTAGACAACTACCTAGACTCTGTGGAAAATGACATTGAAAAAGTTTTGGTTGATGCCATATTCCCGTAGGACAGATCTCAAGTCAACTATCTTCCCACATCAAGTATAAAAATAAAAAACTAAGTAAAATCAAAGCGAGCCCCAGAACTGAAGCACACTGCTATCACATGCTGGCCACTGATCAGCATAGACAGTGGATGTGTACTGGGTACCCTGAAGAAAACAGCATTTTTCTGCAGGACAGAGCTATCACATGGTCAGGGCTGGGAGGAAAGCAGAAGAGGAGGAGGCAGAGATAGAGTTCTAGCTGGACCCAAAGGCCCCACTAGTCAGGAGGGTCCTAGACCTCCTCTCTCAGGATACTGTTTCTCATACGAGCTCCCAAGCCTAAGAAGGTGTTTTCCCCTCAGCAAGTTATCACTTGGAGCTCACATGAGAAAAACGCAGGCTGTGGGGAAACAGCCAGTTGGTGAGGGTCAGTTAGGTCCAGGGTTAGCTGAGTGGCCCTGGCAAGTGACTTTGGTGTACTCATTCAGACTCAAAGAATCATCCTAAGATTCCACTTTCTCACCTGGAAAGGGGGAGAATAAGAGTAAATACCTTGCAGGGTAGCAAAGGTTCAATAAGTTAAGGAGAAAGCAGCGACATGCACATAGACAGGAACTTAAAAGATTTAGCCCTCTTTCCCAGTTCATCACTATGTAACAGGTACCCACATACCCCCGACGCCATGGCCGTGGACACAGACCAGAGCAAGTAAGGAGCAAGAGAAGCATCTGAAAGAAATCCATGGAGAAAGAAGAAAAGCAAAAGCAACTCACACCTGTTGGATATGTATGTGTTCTGTAGTTCTAATCACCTCATATAAACTTCTCAGCAATTCTATACCGATGAGTGGTGAGACATTACTACTTTGCTCATACTTTTGGTTTTGACTCTGAAACATGTTTATGTTTTACATATTCAAATTTATTTAATTCAAATAAACCTAGCCAGACCTAAAATGAAAAATGAAACAAAAACAAAAAGATATTAACCTGGCCGAGAAAACTGCACATAGTACTCTGGCTCTATTCCTTCAAGCAGATATATTAAAAGGACAAAAGAACAGCAAGGAAACCTTGAACTTTACTTAGTAGGTATGTTGTTGGTAAAAGTAGAGGTATGAGTTCCAAACTATTTCATAAGGTCAAATATGGAACAATTTGAACATCAAAATGAAAAAATGGAACAAATAACACACCGAACTAAAAAAAATACTATGAGTCTAGGTTAATATTAAAAATATTTTAAAGGAATTTAAAAGGTAAGTCTTTCATAGAACCATGCCAACGAATAAATACAGAAGGACTGCTCGGAACAGAACATCAACACTTTGGCACCATGATAATAATTAATGATTCAGACAGGAATCACCAGTGAATACTAAAACCAATGGATGAAAAAATTTTGGGAATAGTATACTTACCCAGACTCAAAGAATCACCCACAGATTACTACCATCCATTACAAAGGAGAAAAGATTCCATAACAGTGGAGAAACCTACCAGATACCACCTTAACCAAATGATCAAATTAACACAATTACTAGTGGGACAAACCGATGTCAATTGCTTCTTGAGAAGGAAACATCATCACCTATATAGGAACCCTGAAAAAATGTTAGCCTAAATTGAATCATAGGGGAAAATAAGAAAATTCCAAGTTGAAGAAAATCGTACGAAACAATTTGTTCAAATTAAAAAAAAAATTATAAAAAAGGGCCGGCAGGTGGTGTGGTAGTTAAGCCACTGGACTTCCACACGGCTGACCACAGTTCTAATCCTGGACCTGGCAACTTGCTTTCTCAGCTTCTTTCTCTTACTCTTGTTCTCTGTCACTCTCTGGTCAAATAAAAAGAAATAACAGGGGCCGGCAAGTGGCATGGTAGTTAAAGGCTTTGGACTCCCACATGGCCGAACTCAGTTTGAATCCCAGACCTGGCAGCTTGCTTTCTCACTTTCCCTCTTCCTCTCTCTCACTCTGTCCCTCTCTAGTCAAATTAAAAGAAGTAAATAAATAAATAGAGTTAAATAAGATAATTATTTTAAATAATAATAATAATAATGAATAAAATTAAGTAAAATAATTGTTTAAAAAGTTGATGTCATTAAAAAACTGTAAATTTTAGACAGGAGAGTATCTTCATGACTTCAAGAAAAGAATGGCTTTTTTTTTTTTTTTTTCCTCTTTTCTCATTTATTTATCTACTTATTTATTTAACTACTGAATTGTGCATTTTGGGCCAACAGGTCCAAGACTTGAACTGCAGTTGGCCATGTAGGAGTCCAGTGATTCAACTACCATGCCACCTGCCGCCTCAGGAATGGCTTTCTTAAACAAAAAATAAAAAGCACAAACTACATGGGGCCAGCAGGTTGCACAGTGGTTGGGACACTGGACTACCATGTGGCTGACTGTAGTTTGAGTCCCAGACCTGGTAGCTTGGTTTCTCACTTTCTCACTCTCTCTCTCTATTTCTGTCTCTTTCTGGTGAGCACATGTGCCCTATAAAAAAGGAGGCAATCCAATAGAAAAATAAGATCTCAATGTACCTTTTTATGAAAAAGTAAACCTGAATAGCAAATAAATAAATGAAGATGCTCAAAACTCACACGTAATCAAACAAATGTGATTTTAAAGCACAATATTACTGTACCAACCAACAAATTGGGAAAATTTTAAAGCCCCAAAATACCAAAGGCTGCCAGGAATTCCCATATACTGCTAGTGATAGAATAAACCAGTATATGCATTTAGGAAATCAGTATGAAATCACCACACAGCAATTCCACTCCTAGACATTATACCCTGGAAATTCTTTCACACTGTATCACGACACATGAACAAAAATGTCCACAGCAGCACTAATAGTCAGATACTGGAAACAGTATAGATGTCCATCAAGAATGAGAATGGATAAAGTATAGTATACTCATACACAGAAAACAAAATGCAGTAGAAATTAGTGAACTATGTTCACATAGATCATCTCAGGTAACACTCAGAAATCTGCTATAGGATAAAAGAAGCAAATTACAAAATACAGAGAAAGATCTCATATGATAGCTTTCAAAACTAGGGATGCATACATAGGTGATAAAACTGTAAAGAGAAGCAAGGGAAAGATTATCAGAGTCAAGATTGATTCCTTCCAGGAGATAGGGAGCAGGTGCAGACCAGGAGGAGCACAAAGGGAGCCTCTAAGGCCTGGCAATGTTTTACTACCCAACCTAGACAGTGAGTATATGGGTGGCTTTTATTTTATCATAATTATTTAAAACCTACATATATGTTTCACATACTCTTGTATTGATGATATGTTTCACAAGATAGTCTGGTTACATTTTAATCAGTCATTTCTCATACATTTAATATAGTTATTAAAAACTAAATTAGTCCAATTACTCTACAGTCAGCTCAAAATGCCCACCCCCAAGGCATTCTGAATTCTACGTAAGTCCCTGATTTTGTTTTCCTTTTATAATGTATCTACTAAAAAAAAGAATGCACAGGCTAAATAAATAAATAATAAAAGATATTAAGAGTTCTGATTAATCAACTACAAAATCCTTCCTTTTGTGACAGTTGTCACATTATTCTATTTTCTGTTCTTTACTGACCTTAAAATGAAGGATTACATCAACAATAGCATCAACTATTTCTTGCCTGAAAGGGGAAACAGCTTGTTAGTCAAAAGACAAACTGTTCCTAAGAAATGTATTTGTTTATTTTGTTTGTTTTTTTAAGAGCCAGAGGGCATGTGCACCGGAAAGAGGGAAATGCACCTTCCAATGGGGCAAAGTCATACCACAATCCTTTCTCTATTCTCTGACCTGTCAGGATTTGGGATACATATGCACCCAGTATGTTTTTCCAAGCTGCTATTACCAGGATCTGAACCCATGGTCAATTATATGGGCTCCCTTAACCACTGGGCCATAGGGCCTGACCCTAGAGGCTCATTTAATTTAAAATATGCTAACTATGCCACAAAAGATATGAGCAAGCAAAATAAAGAAAAAGTGGGCCAAAAGGAGGTTACGCTGCTGGAATCCCACATGGTTGACCATGGTTTGAAACTCAGGCCAGGTGTGTGTACATGCGAGCCCAAGAGAATGGAGCACAAGGGATTGCAGTGTGGCCATCCTCCCTGGAGGGTGATGTCTCACTTTCCCTCTCACTGTCTCTGTCTCTCTCTCCAGCAAGTGCATGCACTGTAAGGCAAAAACCTCTCCAAAAAAAGAAAAAGCATTCTCTTCTTATATACTTAAGAACCTTAAATTCTGGGACCAGCAGTAGGCATAATGGCTATGTCGCTGGACTCCCATGTAGTTGACCACGGTTTGAGTCCCGGACCTGGTGGCTTTAACTCACGCTCTGCACATGTGCGTGTGTGCCCAAGATCCCTAGAGAAGAGACTGCGGTGTGGCCATCCACAATCACCCTAAGGGGTGTTTTCTTTTCTTTTTTTTTTTTTAGGGGTGTTTTCTTATTTTCTGTCTATCTCTGTCTCTCCAGGGAGCATATGCACCCTATAACAAAAATTTATTTCTAAATAAAAAGAGCCTTAATAAAACAACTGATAGTGGTACTTATTTAATGCAAAGAAATTCTCTCTCATCCAAAGAGGAATTCTTCCAGATACTTCAGAGGGCATCTGCCTTTGAATAGCCCTGAGGCATGTGAATCCAATAAGTCCTTTCACCTTCAAACCTGCTCTTTTCCCTGCAAATACTCATGAGTGAATGGCAATGCCATCAAGCCAAATGATATCAGTTCTACCTCTAAGACAGTCTTGAATCCACTTACTACTCATTGTTACTGAAAATGACTTTAAAATCCATCATCTAGCTCATTTCAACAACTTCCTAAATGTCCCTTCTACTTTGTGTCTATTTTCAGCTCCAAAACCATTCCTTGAAATGCAATAGTATAATAAGTACAAAAGCAAAGAAGTTGTGCATGCCTGAGTAAGAATCCAGACTCACTAGCTGTGTGAACTTCAGCAATTTTCTTAACCTCTCAGCCTGTTTATTCACCTCTAATGGTTGCTAGGATTAAAGAAAGCAGTATCTGTATCGCAGACAATGTTCCCCACACAGAAAGGCTGAGTTATGTACCTGTGGGAAGGAGAAAGCCAGAAAGGTACATGATGAATGTGTAGAGAAATCACAGGTTAAAACGACACAAAGCCCTGAAGCAGTAGCATAACTTGAGGATTTGAGCGAATATCCCAAAATATATTGTGTCATACAATCCGAAACTTGCACAAATACTTAAGAGAAAACAAGAAAGTTCAATAAAACTTTTTTTTGGGGGGGAGGAAAGGGTTCTTTCACACTCCCTACAGAGTACACATTTTCTTTCCTTTTCCATATGCTCTCCTATATATTAGTTTCAGACTTCTCTGAATCACTTCATGCATTCAATAAATGATGTTATTTAGTCACTCCCCAGTTAAAAATCTTTCAGTGGCTCTCCATTGTCTTTAGTCTGAACAGTAAATACTGGTGTACAGAGACCTGGTTTACCTCTAAGTCATCTGTCCCTGCTCCCGGGACATAAGTTCCATGGCACTTCTGTTTGCCAAGAGTCCTTTTACTTTACCACCCTCTGCAATGCTACACCCTCCTTTCCCCTGACCAACTCCTTCAGTGTTCAGTATTAGTATCCTTTTTAGACAAGCATCTTTTCCTCTGGCGTGGTTTCTCTGATCTCTCTCTCCTCCAGGGCTGTGGTAGGGTCTTCCGGTTTGCTCCAATTACACTTGTCACTCTATCCTAGTGACCTACCTAACCAGCTCTCTCCCACTAAACTGTTGAGCTCTGTGCGTAAAAGAGCTGTGTTGCTCTTCTTACGGTATTATTTAGGCGCTAAAAGAAAGAAAGAAAGAAAGAAAGAAAGAAAGAAAGAAAGAAAGAAAGAAAGAAAGAAAGAAAGAAAGAAAGAAAGAACTGAATGAACTAAACTCCTGAATCTCGAGCTCAAAGGACTCAAGAATAAGAATCTCCACAAGAGCTTAGCTGCGACCCTCTCCTTCTCTGGGGCAAGATGAGGTTTGGTTTGGTCACTGCATTGTTTTAGCCCAATTCCAAGGTCTGACAAACCTTGGCTAATCGGAGTAAGGGAAGCTAGTTTCGAAATACTGCCCAGGAAGGCGGTCCAAGAATGACTACGATCCCAGTCACGACAGTCCCGGGGAGACCAACAGCTCCGCCCACGCCCAGACCTGGCGGAAGCGCCTCGTGCCCCTCTCTGCGCACGCGCCGACCAGAGATCCAGAGGAGTGGGAAGGAACGTCAGGAAAGGCGGGGGGCAGGCCTCCGGGCCAGCGCGGACTGGTCCAGTCCCAAATGGGCAGGGGTGGCTTAAGGATGCCGCAGCTATTTCCCCGAACCCTCCATGCAGGCGTGCGGCCACCTGTCCCCAACTATGTCCTACAGTGGCTCCTCACCCCCACTCCGCACGCCGTCCTCAGGAAAGGGCCCCCGCTAGCAGCAAAGCCAACACGGCCGCCCTGTGCGCAGCGCCCCGCAGCCAGCCTAGAGCGCCCCGCAGCTGCCGGACGGACGCCGGAAGCTGGGCCCTGGCCGCACCGGAAGTCCTTCCTTGTCAGGCGCCACCCCCTCTCTCCACCCACAGTTCCCTTCCGGGCTGAGGACTTCCTCTCGTGGTCTAGTCATGTGCTCGACGTGTGAGGGAAGTTTTTCTCGAGACCTCTTCTCGCTGTGGTGTTGCCTATGGGCCCAAGTGCACGAGGACAAATCAAAACCGCCGCTTTTGTTCAGTAGCTACTTTCCATGCCACAGCGCCAGTGTTAAACCTAGAATTCTCGACTTTCTTAGCCTCCCTCTCTCCACCACGTCAGGCCCATTTTCGGAGCGTCTCAGAAGGCATCTCCTTGGCACTTTCCTTGGATCACGCGATCTCGCAAGTCGCCATTACCTCTTCTGCTACTTGAATAGCATCTGACAGTTACCTTCTGGGTTTAACCACTACCCCAGGCAGCAACATCCCTCCCTCTGGCATCAGCAATTTCAAAACATTACAAGGGCCAAGTTTCCAATTCTGCCACTTCCTCAAAGCTACCAAAGACCTTACCTACCTGTTCCTAGGCAGGCAGTATCTTTACAATTGGAACCACCTCCCTCTCCACCCACCCGCCACATGGGAGCCGCCTCTTGAGCCAAATACTTGGGAGTGCAGAGATGTCATCTTTATGCACTATGAAAATATAGGTAGACTGAGTGAATAACTGCCCTGCTTCACGTGGACTCCTTTGACAAAATTGTTGCCATGCCTTGTTCTGGGGACTCTGTTACCGGAACATCATCCATACATACTCTACCCAAGGCTGCAGTCAGCATGTTGTGAGCTTAACACTGTCTACTGAATTAAGACCTTCTGCTTTTCCTCCTCACTGGATCTGAAAATGTTTTTGTTTTACTCATATTTGTTAAGTTTTTGGTGCGGGTGCCTAATTGGTTGAAGAGAAATGAACTACTTCCTAGTTTCACCTTCTGGACCAGTTGAATCTCTAACCAGATCCAGATACCATCAAAGAATTTAAATAAGCAGGTACTAGAAGACATGTGTTTTTCTAAATGTTTACTCTGGCTGCAGTCTAGAGAAATGAGACCAGGTAAAATGTTGCTGTAGGGCTGCAAGAAAGATGTTTTAACTAGAATGTGTGGAAATGAAAGGTATTTAGTAGGTAAAATATTAAGAAACTGGTGATAGATTGATGATATAGTGATATCCTTCACTTATGTGGAATAGTGAGACAAGACTATGCTTCTTCCCCACCAAATGGCTCTGCTTGCTGGAAGGGAAGATTGATAAAGGGATAGGACTTCAAATAGGAGGGGCTGAATTAGAGAAGGTAGGGTGAAAAACCCAAAGGAGGAGTAGAGATGTAAAGAAAGCAATATCTGAACTGAGACAAAAACAGGTTTCAAAAATTTACCTCGATTGTTAATACCCGTGCACACTATGTGTCCTAGACCCATGTATAGAATGTTTTCACAATATCTGACATCTAGTGACCAACCAGGGAAAAAGGAACACTTTAGCAAAAAAGAATACTGTTTCCTTAGTATCAAAATTTTATTTTGACAATAACTTTTAAATTAGTACATCAACAAGAAAGTAACTTACTTCACCAAAAACATATTTTTTTCTTTTGAGAGATTTTTGCTATAGGGCGCATGCACTTGCCAGAGACAGAAAGACAAAGAGACAGAAATGAGAAATTCCCCCCCAGGGGGGATGGCCACATGGCAATCCCTTCTCCAGTGTCCTCTCAGGATTTTGCACCCAGCGTATTTAAGCCACTGGGTCCGGGACTCAAACCACGGTCGACTACGTGAGAGTCCAGTGACATAGCCATTATGCTTTCTGCTGGTTCCCCCCAAAACATTTTTTTTAGCAGAGTATCACTCAGGTTGAGGTACATTTATAATTAATGGTTAGTGATCTGGAAAAGATGTATACAAATCATCTGGACCAGACTTCTGAAAAAGTGACCATTTTTAGATAATTTTTAAAGATGAGACAATCAGGGACCAGCAGATAGTATAGTGGTTGAGGCGCTGGATACTCCCACATGGCCAACCCCAGTTTGAGTCCCAGACCTAGTGGCTTGCTTTCCAACTTTCCCATTCTCTTTCTTTGTCTTTCTCGAGTCAAATTAAAATAAATTAATGAATAAAAGTTTCAAAAAAAATGAGACAATCAAAATCTACTGAAATCTTAGGAAGTTTATTTGCCTTAAATCATGTTATAAAAGATTTTGCTTGGTATATAAGGAATATTCTGCCTCCTACTTTTTACTATTCCAATATACTGCTCTCTCTAAAGTCATTTCATGAGTACATATACTTATAAACACAAGTGACTGCATATACCTATGGAGCATAGGTCAAATTGCCTTTTTTTTTGAGAGAGATTTTTGCTATAGGTGCATGCACTTGCTGGAAAGACAAAACGTGAGAAATCACCACCCAGGGAGGTTGGCCATGCTGCAATCCCTTCTTCACTATCCTCTCAGGATTTGGAGGACGCATGCACATGTGCCCAGCATGAAATGTAAGCTGCCAGGTTCGGGACTCGAACCAGGGTCAGCTACATGGAAATCCAGTGATGTAACTAACCATCATGCCATCTGCTGGTCCCCACATTGCCTCTTACTAAAGCAGGGTTGTTTTCTAAAAAAAAAAAAAAACAAACTTTCAAACCATGTTTTTGAAAATTTAGGGTTTTGTGTAAGTGATTTGGGAAGCTTACCAAGAGTGGTGTTAAGGCTGAACACTGGGTCTTTGGGTCCCAGAACTGCACCAACAAACAATACATAAATAGACATGCTCTCATCTCTTTTAAATATTGGAGTATACTTCCATTAGAATATCTTTTCTGCTGCTAGCAAACAAAATTTAAACACCACTTGATAAAGAATTAAGCTATACATTTGATTAGTATCTACAGACCAGAGCCAAGACCCTTCACTACAGTTAAGGGGAATACAGACATAGCCAGAATATATAAGGACCATAAATATTGAGTTGTTGGAAAAGTCATGACATTTTTCTATGCAAAAATGCATCATGACTTTTCCAACAACCCAATATTATGAGTCTGCAACTATCACAATTGTTAATTCTGAGAATGGCTAAAGATGATCTGGTATTTAAGTTATCATTTGCTAAAATAAGGTACTACGGTTACTGAGTCACAACTGCTCAGAGGAAACTGGGGCTAGCGTGAGAAAAGTTTACAGGCTTCCCTGCAGCTGCATTAAAACTGTCCTTGAGAGATGAAATATTTAATGCTCAGTGCTTCACTACCCTCACAGCTGCCTTGCTACAGAATACTCCGATCTGCCCTGCTGTGACTGCTTGCCACTGGAGTGTGGACTTGGAATGTTCCAGCATTCAATTAACATGAAGGTATGTCGTAATGTCTCACATGAAACAGCATCAAAGGTCTCTCTTCTTTATTCTTAAAATTTTGTATGGCTCATAGCATGTGGAGCAAAAGGAGTGCCCTCGGCTGCTTCTTTTGGATCTCAAAAGCAGTAGCTAAAACTTAGATTCATGCATCACCTCTAACACCAAGTCTGTTAGTTCTTCACATGAGCCAAGTAATTAACTAAGAATCTCTGGTACATTTCCTTGGTCCAGCTGCAAGCCCATGGACCAGCAATCACCCATCTCTAACTCTGAAAAAGCCAACATGTATTCAATACCTGCAGCGTAATTTTAGAAATTAAATCATGGAATAAAAGTTTCTCATGAGTCCTCTTTATGTAGGCCAGCAATTAAATAAACTCACTGAAGAAAATACCAGACTGTTAATGTTTACTTTCATTAAATCTGTACTCGGTGATTTTTGTATAGCAAAGAACATATATAAGAGGTCTAAGACACAAAACGGAGACTATTGCAGTTAACAATGACAGGTTTATACTGAAGTACAAAAGCAAGTGCTTGACTTAGAAATTCAACTTTATTTACAAATGCCCTCCTACAAACAAAGGTATCAATTTCCACCCCTTTGAAATATTATAACTGATAATTTCCATGAAAATCATTTACATAATTTTAACCTTTCTGCATGAAACTGTGTTATGGACAAGCGAATAACCATACAAGATGGTCTTAAGACATAAAAACAAAAGAAAATAAAAATCAACTTATCTAATATGGAATGTATTGACAGAATGTCTACATTCTATAAGAACGTAGAAGAATCATACTCCTTGATGTACTACTTCACCAAGTGATAATTTGGGGACAGTAAATACTTCACAATAAACAATCTTCTTAAGTAGTACAGTTTAATTATCACTGCTTAGGGTTGTTCTTACAGGCTAATATTTACATTGATTTAAAAAAATAAGTCATCATTATGAAAAGGACACAGATTTATTTTTACCAAAGAAAATATGTAGATACTGGTCTGGTTTCAATATTCAGCTTAGTTTATAACAAATGCTTGAGAGAACTTAAAACACAATCATCATGTGACGGACTTACAAATGTAGAATTATTGAAATCAGAGAGTACTTCTCAGTAGTATCTATAAATTTGAATTCTTCACAGCTGAGATAATATATAGACATAATAATCAGAGTCCAAAATAAAATGATCCAAATTACCTATTATTTAAAAAAAATTTTTGCCAAAGGCTGCATGTGCTTACTGGAGAGACAAAGAGAAAAAGAGAGGGAAAACAAGAAAACACCCCTCTCCCCATGGGGCATGGTAACACCACAATCCCTTCTCTTCCATTTCTCCCTCTGCCTGGGATTCTGGGCACACATGTAGTATGTTTCTCAAGCTGCTGGGTCTGAGGCTTAAATCATGCATTTGGCCATGTGGGATCTGGCTACCTTAACCACCAGGTCATGGGCTGGCCCCTTATTTATCATATGTAAATTTTAAAAAGTCCTTTAAATTTTATTTGAGGGGGGCCACAGCCCATTCTTACATTATAGTTAAGTCACAGGGAACTTCAAAACTTTGAAAAAAAGATTCATCCCTGAGAAATGATAGAAAAATATATCTGAAAAAACTAAAACAGTCCTGTACCCTTTTAACAATCTTTACCATGGCATGAACTATTATTAACAGTCAATGATCAAATGTATTCCAGTCTTGGAGAGTTACTGCCACTGATGATCTGATCTTTTTGTAATGAAACTATAAGTGCAACATTTTCAAAGTCAGATAAATAGAAACTCTGCTTTTATTGTCAGCTTTACATTTTTTGTCAAGTGCAAGGTTGGCCTGCTATGATATGAATATTCCAATAATGAAGGAAATAATAACTTCTGCTGACATCTGTTCTCCTGAATCTCCATTTCTCCCATGGATCTTCACCCAAATAATAAAAGTAATACAATCGCCACTGAGTTTACTATTATCAATGGAACTGCAAAGAAGAAAAAAAAGTTTGTTATTATAAGGAAAAAGGCAGGGGAAAAAACTAAGTAATATTAGTAGGATGGAAATAGCTAACAATTTGTCATCATAATCACATTGTACATAGTTATAACAGAGAACTGTTAACAGTTATAACTAAGAAACACACTGGGTCACAAAATCCAAAATTTAGAGGGCTCATGTGACTTCGAATAAGGGTCACATTGGCACAACTATTGATAGATCATTGAGAATGATCTACAAGTAATGCTGGTGCAGCTCTGGGAACACAGATGCATATCAGATCCAGGCAAAAAACCCACTAGGCTACCAGTGGCAATTTAGATTATAACATAGTGCAAAGATTGCATAGCTTCATAACTAAATTAAGAATGAATTTATTTAACATTGCATACAAAGTTGTGATTAAAATAGCTAAAGAAAGAAGAGGCCTTAATTTTAATAAAATATTTTTAAACCCTCCTTTTTGGATCGATGAAAAATATTTTCTAATAGAACTGCAGATATATGGGACCTTAATTTTTTTCTTAGAAGCCTCCCATGAAGCTAAGATTATTTTACAACATGGAAGCCACAGAATTTCCAAACAGCAAGAATATCATTCTGTCTTCCAGCTTTGATAGGTAATAAGCACACTGAGCATGGCCATTTATATGTTAACTGGCTTAGAAATAAAAGGCAAAATAAGAAAGAATCTAGTAACTTTTAAAAGGTAAAGCTACTTAAAAGGTTAGAGGAAAAATATTCCCACTATGAAGAGTGTACTTAAAAGCTTTTGCTACTTAAATAAAGCCAGAAAAATTAAAACTTAAGAGTTCTTTACTAGTTTTTATTCTTACCTCTCATCACAGTTCTTACAGATCGAATAAGGTTCATTAGCTGAGATTTAATTCCTGGCTCTTCTCCAAATCCACCAATTCCCTGGTCTGTTGCCCAGCCAACTGTATGACATAAAGATGAGTAGCTGTGTTAGCATTTAGTATACATTCTCCTCGCTCCCTCACTAGCCATCTTTTAAAATATTAGTTTGAGTCCTCTTTAAAGACATAAAATGTAAAGTCTTATGACTTAAAGAAAAGTTAAAACAATATTAAGTTAAATATTTCAGAGCTTTTTGTTTTTGATAGCAGCAACAACCTCACTTCACATCATGTATGTTTTGATTTTTATAAAATAAAGTACAGTCTAAATTATCCCATGACATTTAATTCAGTTAAGATGACCATCTGAATACATCCTGATTTTTTTTTTCTCCTTTTTAAAAGTATCAAACAAAATGTTTCTCAGGTCAGAACTGAAAACCCACAACCAGCAGGTGGTATAATGGTTACACTGCTGGACTCCCAAATGGCTAACTGAGGTTCAAGTCTTGGACCTGGTGGCTTGAAACTCACACTGGGAGCATGTGTGTGCATGCCTAAGATCCCAAGAGAAGAATGGAGAAGAAGGGATTGTGGCATGGCCATCACCTCTGAGGGCGGGTGGGTGATTTCTTGCTTTCTGTCTCTCTAGCAAGCGCATGTGCCCTATAGCAAAAATCTCTCTTAAAAAAAAAAGGAACTGAAAACCAAAGCATCCTGTCAAGCTGAATAATTAATTAGCTCAATTCAGAATTGATAAAACCCAATCTAATTATCAGTGTTAAAAGGCTATATATGAGAATCACTACATTCATTACCTGGAAAATTTTAACATAAACCTGAAATGGCATGGTTAGGCTGTCATAGCATATTCTAGCCAATAATGCACATCTTTTCCCTTTTTTTCCTTGGTCATTCCTCTTCATTTTGCCATTTTGAGGTGAATTTAGCCCATTAGCCCCCTTATATTCTGTAAGTGACTCCCACCATTTTCTGTATTATAGAAAAATTTATATATATATATATATATAGCCAGATGGTGCATGCACTTACTAGAGAGAGAAAGGGAGAAAGTACCTCCCCACCCCCCAGTGAGACTTAGTCATGCTGTAATCCATTCTCTTCATTTCTCATCTGTTCTCTTCCAGAACCCATGTCTTGGGGTTCTGAGCACACATGCACACAGAATGTTTCTCAAGTCACTGGATCTGGAACTCAAACAGTGAGGTCAACCATGTGGGATCTAGTTCCCTTAAGCACTAGATCACAGGGCTGGCTCAATCATTATTTCTTTACCTCTGTGTGCTAGCTCTTTCCTTTTTATAGCTTTATACATTCTTCCAAAGATTTATATGTTATTTCTGTAATTTCCTTCTTTGGTCCTCATTTCAGTTCCACTTTTCACTATCTTACATTAAGGCTTAATTCCTGACATGGTAATGCTTACACTTGAGGACAGAGAAAAAGTCTTTGTTTTATACATGAAATAATCAAATGTTAGAAAGCAAGATTTTAATCAAATTTTACTTGACTGAAATAAAGACTAATTGGACAATAGGGGCAGCCACTTAGCATAGTGGTTAAGGGTGCTCAACCCCACATGACTGACTATATGGTCTAAATACTGGCCCTGGTGGCTTGAAAAACACACTGGGCACAGGTGCAAATGTAACTAAAATCCTGACAGGATGGAGAAATGCTTGTGGCATAACTATGCACCATTGTGGGGGGTGGGGGGGAGAGGGCTTGCTCACTTGCTCTGTCTCTCTCTCTCTTTGTCTCTCTCTCTCTGGTGAGCACATGTGCCCTCTGGCTATTTAAAAGAAAATTTTTGGTGGGCTAGTCCTTGGTTTGGTGGTTAAAGCAGGTGACTGACCATGTGGCTTGAGTCCTTGATCCAGTGGCTTGAAAAATACTCTGAGACGTGTACATGTGCCCAAAATCCAGTAAAGAGGGAGAAATGGAGAAGATACTGCAATATGACCAAAGAGGTGCTTTCTCCCTGTCCCTCTCTCTGCCTGTCTCTGGTGAATACATGTCCAATCTGGCATTTTTTTTTTTTTTAAATAGAAGAAGAGTAACTAATTTTCAGCAGAAAAAAGCTAAAATCTAAACACTACAGAGAATACATAGAAAAAAAAACTGAGGTGAACTGGGTAGGAACCAGACTGCATGGAAAGAAGTGAGCAGTGAGGCAAGCAAGTGAGCTAGCTTCATCTGTATTTACAGCCACTTCCCATAGGTTATATTACCACCTGAGCTCTGCCACCTGTCTGATCAGCTGAGCATTAGATTCTCATAGGAGCCCCCAGATGAGACCATCTACTTGCAGGAAAAGACACTCAGGGATCCCACTGATTCTGCATTATGGTGAGTTGTATAATTATTTCATTATACATTACAATGTAATAATAATAGAAATAAAAGGTACAATAAATGTAATGCTCTTGAATTATCCTGAAACCATCTTTCCCACACACACCCTGGTCCGTGGAAAAATTATCTTCCACAGAATAGGTCTCCGGTGCCAGAAAGGAGGGGGACCACTGATTTAAGCCATCCAATCTATAGTATTTTGGTATGGCAGCTTGAGATAACTAATATGTTTCATGTGTGAAATTTTTTTTGTATCACTTATACAGAGCTAGTACTGGATATTTGTCAAATTGATACTGGGCACTGCATTTAATAACTCTAGTAAGAATATTTTTTGGCACTTATTAAAATCCACCATGTGCTGTTTTTATTGTACTAAAAGGTATTAATATTACAGTGGAGGATTTGGATGAATAAACTATTCCCTGTACAACTAATTAAAATAAACTAACTGTATAAATACAAAGCTCTCAGTTCAAGAACTGCAAGATATGATTAAGGGTAAGGTTATTTAATTATTTAGAAAACATTCACTGATTGACAGAACTGTAAAAATAAGAGGATCCCCTCTCCTCAGTTTACTAGAGGAGGAAGAGAAAAAACACTGGTGCAATGACACGTGAAGATGGGTCAGGGATGGCTTGTGAGACGGAAATGACAGAGGGAGGCCTTCAAGGGTAGGCTGAGAGATTAAGTCAAAGGTAGAGGAATAAGTATAGGTCACTTCAGGCAGAGGAAATAGTTATCAAGGAAGGCTCAGTAGGGAGGAAGAGTACCCTGGTAAGAATGCACACAGGATAAATACTGAGGAAGGATAAAAGAAGGGAAAGGAGAGCGAGGAAGGGACATCTTATGGTGAGCCTGAAGTTATACAAGGGAGTTTGACTTTTATGTTGAAGACTAAGGATATTGGAGACTCAGAATTTGAAACCACAAAAGAACATGCTTAGCTTCATCTGGAAGATGGAACAAAGAGAAGAGAAACTGGAGGCAGGTTGACCAGTGAGGAGGTCACTGTAAAAATCTAGGCAACAAGAGTTAAGAGTCAGGGCCAGCAGGTGGTATTGTGGTTAAGGGCACTGGACCTCCACATGGCTGACCACAGTTCAAGTCTCGAACCTGGCAGCTTGCTTTCTCCCCATCCCTCACCCCGTTCCCCCTCTCTCACTCTCACTCTGTCCCTTTCTGGTCAAATTCAAAAAAAGAAAAGAAAGGAAGGGAGGAAGGAAGACAGAAAGAAAGTTAAATAAAATCATTCTTTAAAAAAAAGAGTTAAGAGCCTATGCAGACTATATAATAAGCCATTAAAATTTTTAAAAATATATTTAGATTAAAAATATTATTCATGAGACAGAGCACATACCCATGCCCAAGAGAGAAACAGAACCCCTAACAGGATCTGGTCACATTGCAATCCCCTTCCCCAATTCTTCAGCTCACCAGGATGTTGGGCACACATGCACACACCCATTATCAGATTAACTGGGAATCTAAATCAACAATTGGTCATGTGGTTTCTGGCATTACAGTTTAGTATGCTAGTATGGAACCAAATGAGGCTGGGCCCATATTTAAATATTTTAAAACAGCTTATCCACTTAGACAAGTCAATGTGGTGTTTTCCTTTAGTTCTGAGATCATATTCAAAATATGTATCAGGCAAAACATTTTTATGCTACCTCTGTAAAGATAAGGAAATGCAGAAAACAAAGTTCTGGAGGGCAAAGTATTGACACATCTGGGTCACTCTAATATTAGATTGTTGGGAAAGTCATGACATATTTTTCTGTGTAAATATGCATCATGACTTTCCTGACAATCCAGTAGTTTGAGGTTGGGACCAGCAGCTGGTGTAATGGCTGTGTTGCTGGACTCCCATGTAGTTGACCGCAGTTCAAGTCCCAGACCCAGTGGCTTAAACTCATGCTGGGCACATGTGTGTACATGCCCAAGATCCCGAGAAGAGAGTGGAAGAGAAGGGATTGTGGCGTGGCGATCCCCCCTGGGGGTGATTTCTTGCTTTCTGTCTCTCTGTCTCTCTCTGTCTCTGAAGAGTGCACACGCCCTATAGCAAACCCGCCGCCCCCAAAAAAACCAAAAACGCTCTAGAAAAAGAGAGAAAACAATAAATCTGCTACATATTCACTATTTATTTCAGCTATCCAGTAATTGAACTCTATGCCATATTTGTGGAATTACCTGTTTATGAGTTTTCTTCTTCCTTTTTTTTGGAGAGGTTTTTGCTGTAGGACGCGTGCGCTCACCAGAAAGACAGAGAGAGACAAAGAGATAGAAAGCGAGAAATCACCCCCCAGAGGGGATGGCCACGCCGCAATCCCTCCTCCTCCATTCTCCTCTCGGGATCTTGGGCATGTACACACATGTGCCCAGCATGAGTTTAAGCCACTGGGTCCAGGATCCAAACTGCGGTCGGCTACATGGGAGTTCAGTGACACAGCCATTACGCTAACTGCTGGTCCCCTGTTTATGAGTTTTGAAGAGGCTCAAAGACTATTTCTCCCCCAAACGAGGTGAATAAATAACTGCAGCTTCCCTTGCAATTAAGACACAGAATATGAAGTAGGTTTCTCTAATGCCTACTCTAGTGCCCAGAGAGTCCCATACCATACTAACTCAGGAGGCAGTGATGTCAGAGTGTGGGGAGCGAAACATGCTTGGTAATAGTGCCAGCAGTAGTAGAGGCAGAACAGCCTCATTTTCAATATAGAAGTAGCATTGATGCATTTGGATGTTGTCCTAGACGCTCAGCCTGGAGCCTAGCTCTCTAGACCTCTCAACATTTTTGCAAGCTAGCTAGTACCTTCTTTAAAAAATTAAATATATCTACAGAAAGTACATAACTCCTAAGTGTATTTCTTGAAATATCTTCACCCAGCACTCAGATCAAAAAACACAAAGCATCACCAACCATGCCAGAAGCCCTACTTATGCCCCTGTCCAGTCATTTCTCCCCGACTTCGAACACCATGTTAGAAGGTACCAGTTGTGCCTATTTATACAAGGATTCCTCTTTTTAATTGTCAGAGGGGCACATGCATTTGCTAGAGAGAGAGGGAGGGAGGGACGGGCAGAGGGAGAGGGTGAGAGAGAAAGCACCCTCAAATGGGGCATGATCACACCACACCCTGTTTCTCCATTCCTCATTCCCATCAGGATTTTAGGTATGTAGGCACATGGCATCCAGTGTATTTCTCAAGCAGCCAGGGCTAGGATTCAATGTACAGCCAGCCAAGTGGGGTATGACTCCCAATGTGCAGTGCTTAACCACTTCACTAAGGGGCCAGCCCTCAGTTGTGCCTAATTTTAAATTTTATATAAAGGAATCATTCAATATGTATTCTTTTATATCTACTTTCTTTCTCTCAATATTGTCATTCATGTAAATTGTCTTATAGAGCCATAGTTCGTTCTTCATTGCTGTGTATTATTCCATTGTTTGAATATAATCATTTATCCTGTTTTGTTTATTATGACTATACTGTTATGAATTTCTTTAAAAAAATATTTATTTATTTATTTATTTAATTCCATTTGTTATTATTACCTTGTAATTTGACCAGAGAGAGAGAGAAAGGGAAAGTGAGAAAACAAACCACCAGGTCTGGGACTTGAACCACGGTTGGCCACGTGGGAATTCAGCGTCTTTAACCACCACACCACCTGCCGGTCAGCTATGAACATTCTTACACATGTCTTTTGATGAACATGTTAGATTGTCGGAAAAGTAAATCCCTTTTCCTCCATTCTCCTCTTGGGATTTTGGGCATGCATGCACATGAGCCCAGTGTGAGTTTTAGGCTGCCAGGTCTGGGACTTGAACTGTGATCAGCCATGTGGGAGTCCAGCGACATAACCATTATGCCATATGATGGTCCTGAATGTGTGATTTTTACAAAACAGCTTTATCGAGATATAATTCATGAATTAAAAGTATACAAGTCAATGGCTTTTAAGTATGTTCAGACTTCCAACTATTACCACCTTCTATTTTAAAATATTTCTACCACCTCAAAAGAAATCCCATTTCCCTGAGTAACCACTTCCCATTCCTGCAGTCCCTCGAGTACCAAGCAACCAAAAATCTACTTTATGTCTCTTAAAAAATTTTCTGTTGGGACAAGCAGGTGGCATGGTGGTTAAAGTGCTGGACTCCCACATGGCCAACCGTGGTTTGAGTTCCGGATCTGGTGATTTGCTTTCATATTTTCTCTCTCTATCTCTTCTGGTGAATTAAAATAATAATAATAAATAAAATTAAGTAAATAATTCTTTAAAAATTGTCTATCGGGGCATTTCATATAAATAGTATATGTGATCTTTCATGACTAGCTTCTTTTATTTAGCATAATGCTTTACTTAGCATAAGCCCATCCATGTTGTAGTATGTATAAGTACTTTTTTTTTTTTTCTACTGATAATCGGTATTCCATAATATGGACACAATACATTTTAGTCATCCATTCATCAGTTGATGAACATCTGGGTTGTTTCCACTTGTAGCTATTATAAATAATGTTATGATGAATCATGTTCTTTTGTGTGGACATTTGTTTTCATCACTCTGGGTATTATCCATGAGTGGAATCACTCAATTCTATGGTAACTTATGTCTAACATTTTGAGGAACTGCCAGACTGTTTTCCAAAATGGCAAACCATTTTTACATTATCACCAATAATATATGATGGTTCTAATTTCTCCAAAACCTCATTAATACTTGCCATTATATATCTTTATTATAATTATCCTAGTTGATGTGAAGTAGTATCTCACAATTTGGATTCACATCTCTCTAATGGGAAACATTAGAAATGGGAAAATACAAAGGTACAAATATTTTAATTGGTTATTTATCTTTTACTATTGAGCTGTAATATTCTTTACACATAAGCTTCTTATCAGATTCATGAGTTGTACATATTTTCTCCCATTCTGTGGTTGTCTTGTGGTTGTTTTGTGGATAGTGTCCTTCAAAGCACAAAAGATTATAATTTTGGTGATGCATAATATCTCTTTCTAATTTGGCATTTGTGCTTTCAGTGTTGTAACTAATTTCTTAACCCAAAGTCATGTAGCTTTATGTCTCTCTTTTTCCCATAACAGTTGTGTAGCTTTAGATCTTGAAGTTTATAAGCCTACTTTTTTTTTTTAGTTAAATTCTGCAGATGGTATGAGAGAGGAGTGTAACTTTATTCTTTTTCACATGGAGAGTCAGTTGTTCTGGCACTGTTGGTTGAAAAGAGTATTCTTTTCCTATTAAACTGTTTTGGCACTCTTGTTGAAAAATCAACTGACCATAAATGCAAGGGTTAATCTCTGAACACTTTTCTTTTTTAAAGAATTATTTAACTTTATTTATTTATTTATTTATTCTAATTTTACCTGAGAGGTACAGAGTAAATAGAGAGAGTTAAGTGAGAAAGCAAGCCGGCAGATCTGGGACTCAAACTGTAGTCAGCCATGTAGGAGTCCAGCACCCTTAACCACCACGCCACCTGCCGGCCCCAACTTCTAAACTTTTCATTCTTTTCATTGATATATGTTTCTTCTTAGAAGACTAACACAACAGTTTTGATTGTTGTAGTTTTGTAGAAAGCTTACAAACTGAAAAAGATGAGTCCTCCAATGTTGTTATTCCAAGAGTATTTTGGCTATTCTGGCCCCCTTGCATTTCCTTTAGGATCAACTCAGCAGTTTCTTGAAAGGGCTAAATGTAATTTTCAGAGATGCTACATTAAATCTGTAAATCAATATAATGAAAAATTGACATTTCAAAAATATTAAGTCTTCCAATCTGTGAACATGGAATGTCTTTACTTTTTAAAATTATCTTTAAGAAGATTTTTAATCTTTCTTAATTTATTTCAGTGATGCTTTGTAGTTTTCAAAGTATGAGGCTTGCACCTTTGTTATTCATAGGTATTTTAACCTTTTTGATGATACTGTACACAGAAAAATAAGTGTACAGTGAACACTTGTTTATAAAAAATCTAAGTATAAAAAATAAGTTTTTTATATATTGTTCTTGTATCTTACAGCTCAATGAATTTATTTAGTGGACTCTAAGATTTTTTATATATATATGCAAGATTATATCATCTGCAAACAGATAGTTACACTTTTTCAATCTCACATTCTAACTCTTTTACTTTTTCTTGTCTAATTGCCCTGGCAAGAATTTCCATGTGAACTAGAAATGGCAAGCAAGGACATCTTTGTCTTATTACTCTGATCAGGGAAAACATTTAGTCTTTCATCATTAAATATGATGTTAACTGGAGAGTCTTCATATTTGAAAGAGGATGTCTCCTCCTTTTTCTAGTTTGTTGAATATTATCATAAGAGAGTACTGGATTTTGTTGAATGACTTTTCTGCTTCTCTTGTGATGATCATGTGATTTTTGCTTATTTTATTAATAGTAATGCTTACATTAGCTAATTTTTAAATGTTAAACCAATCCTTCATTTCTAGGATAAATCCCATTTGGTCATGGTATATAATCCTTTTTATATGTTGGATTTAGTTTGCCAGTATATGGTGAGAATTTTGGCATTTATATTCATATCAGAAGAGATATTTATCTTTCTTGTGATGTCTCTGTCTGATTTTCACATAAGGTTAATAATACTGGGCTCATAGGATGAATTGAGCAGGGATTTCCACTCTCCATTTTTTGGGAAGAGTTTGTAAGGAATCGATATTAAGTCTTCTTTATTTTTAGAGAGATTTTTACTATAAGGCATGTGCACTCAATAGAGAGACAGAGAGAGAGGGACAAAAAGCAAGAAATGACCACAGGGGGTATGGCTATGCCAATCCATTCTCCTCCATTCTCCACTCGGGCTATTGGGCATGCACGCACACATACTCAGCGTGCATTTGAAATCACCAGGTCTGGGACTTGAACTGTGGTTGACTATCTGGGAGTCAAGTGATGTAACAACTATGCCATCTGCTGGCTCCAATATTAAGTCTTCTTTATTTATTTTTAAAGAATTATTTATTTAATTCTATTTATTCATTTGTTTATTTTAATTTGACCAGAGAGCCACAGAAAGAGAGAAAGTAAGAAAACATGCCACCAGGTCTGGGACTTGAACTGTGGTCAGCATTGTGGGAGTGTCCAGTGCCTTAACCACCAAGCCACTCACCAGCCCCATTAAGTCTCCTTTAAATGTTTGGTGTAATGCAATGTTAAAGCCTGAACTTTTCTTTGGAGGAAGCTTTAGAATGATTTATTAATTCATCTCTTTATATATCATAGGTCTATTCGGATTCCCTATTTCTTATGTCAGTTATTTTTTTTTTTTGAGAGATTTTCACTGTAGGGCGCGTGCGCTCACCAGACAGACAGAGAGAGACATAGAGACAGAAAGCGAGAAATCACCCCCCAGGGGGGATGGTCACGCCGCAATCCCTTCTCCTCCATTCTCCTCTCGGGATCTTGGGCACGCACGCACACGCGCCCGGCGTGAGTTTTAAGCCACCGGGTCCGGTACGCGAACCGCGGTCGACTACGTGGGAATCCAGCGACATAGCCATTACGCTAACTGCTGGTTCCCTCTTATGTCAGTTTTAACAGTTTGCATCTTTCTAATAATTTGTCCACTTTTCCTAAGACACATATTTGGTTGACATAGATTGTTTAGTTATATTCCTTTATAATCCTCTTCATTTCTCTAAGGCCAGTAGTGA